CAATATTAAGAACATGGTCATTCCATTTAAAAAAACTGAGTTTATAGACTTTGAAGTTTCTTAAATTTGGATCTCCATAGGTGCGGTTGTACGCAACTTAACTTTGTTTTAAGTACAGTAAAAGAAAGCCCTATTCATTCTCTATGCACTGATAAAAATGGGTTGCCATGACTATAACCTTTTTCAAGTAATCAATTATCAAGGTACCATCTGCATCCGCCATTTTTTTTCTTAAAGTCAAAATAACTTAAAAACCATAAATGGCAGATATGACATATGGGTATCAAAAGAACTGAAATTTCACGTAGAATCCAAAAATGCAATAAAAAATAGGGGTTGCCATTTAAAATAACGAAGTTACTATCTACTTCCGGTGTTTCCGGAAGTGCGGCCATTTTGAAAATATTTTACATCGATTCGGCCTTCAGAGTAACTCCTAAGTACAAATTTTCAAAATCCTACCTATTTTACTTTCCCAGAAACTTTTAACTAAAGCTCCCAAAAAAACACCCTGTATTTAATACATGCGCTTAATTTACATAGGTAATCCGAATTTTACGTGGAAGGTTTTCGGGGTTTAGATAAAGTTATGCAAAAAATTAAAGCAGAACTCTGCTTGTGTAATGTGGATATTCTCGTTCATTCTTTTTTTATACAGAAACAGCTCCCAGGAAATGTATTCATAATAAATTCAGTTTTACACATACTACGTAATGAAACCCCAACACCTAGGGAATGTGAAACAAGAATTAGATATAATTACTTTATGGGTCAAGCTAAAACCAATTTTACATAGCTTTTCACTTATGTAGCTAAAGATAAGACTTCTACTCTGTTTCTATGAAAAGAAAATTACATTCTTAAAGCATTTGATATGGATAATGTAATGTCCTAATGTGAATATAGTATCTGGGAAATGATATGCGTCCGAACTTCTTATTTCCATAGTCCAGGAGGCACTCGTTTCTAAAGCAATCAATCAATCAATCAAAATACGTTTATTTACATTTTATAGATGATACAATAGTTGTGTTAGTAGAAAATGAGTGGCGGACTGCTCAGAAGTCAGGACACTTGAACGTCGAGATAAAACGCCTAAATCTCCGTACAATCTGCGCATGCGAAAGAAACGTCAAAGTTCAAAGTTGCATCCATCGAGCCACCGTATCTAAGTCGAAGACGAGCTTTACGGCCCTCCGGAGAAAATTAGGAAGATTACGAAGTTTCCGAAGAAGAGCGACTTCCACCTTCTATTCTGAGCGCGGTCCGTGTGCTTTGGAAGGTACCCAGGGAAGTCGCACTGAAGCCTGCCTGTGACACGGCGAACCAAATTCGAATAGCAGCCTGCAGTGGGCGGTCCTAAACTTACTCAACTTCCGCATCAATCGAAGAAAAACCAAGATTGCGTTCCGACTCCCGGTGCACATAAACAGTATACTTGAAAGGTATTTCTAACTATCATAAAACCCGCATCGCGTCGTAGTTTACCGTTTTTCGTAGTTTACCCCGTTGTAGTTTATTGTGTTGTAGTTTATACGGTCGTAGTAGTGTCAAATTTAGCTATTGTATCACAGTCATTATAGAACAGCATGTATGTATTGTAAGGGCGACTTAATTCCCTACTAGTGTTTTGAGTTTAATAAGTGCTTTGTGAGCGCTGTTTGCTTTCATGTTAACGACTCGGGCCTGGAAAAGCGTTACGACGCGCACTTACAGCGTTTGTTTTGATTTTCGATTTAGTTATATATTAATTTCTGAAACAAAAAATTAAGTTTCTTTCTGTACTTCGCGGTTCTAGAATCAACAATTTGATTTCAATTAACATAATAAAGATAGACTTTTCTTTTTGTGCAATGAACCTCAGTCCCCATTTCTTTTAACATGCGGTATTTACAGATTAAAGGCGAATTCCTAAGAAAATAAGAACGTAATAAGTTTTAATAAAGATTATTGATTTTTATTCATTTATTCTTTCCCATGTTCCCGCAGCCCAACAACAATTGTTTTATGTAAGAGGAACCGCCCGAAATAAAGTAGCTTGAGGAAGAAACGGTAGGAAGAGTTGAAAAGTAACCAGCCGGTTACACTACGCAATACGTGATGACTTTGCATCTTTACCTGGATCCACCATCTTATTAGGATTGATATTGGCGCGCGTCAGGCGATGGATTTCTACATTTCCGATTTGGGAAATTTTACCATTGAATTTATAATAAAGTCAATGATTCTACTTACATTAACCTTGTGAATCTACTTCATTCTACCAACATTACTACCTACTCGAAGTTTGTACTTGAGATTCCGATAATTACCTGAATTCTAACCGCAAGTATTTGTTATAACCACACTAAGGTACGCTAGCCACTTCCACTTCGAACGCGGGCGCCGAGAGGATAGACACGGGGCGTGACTTGTAATATATATATATATATATATATATATATATATATATATAATAAATATATATATATTATATATATTATATATATAATATATATATTATATATATATAATTATATATATATATATATATATATATATATAGGACAATACTCCACCGCACCTTTCGACATCCAAACGTATAAATTTCCCTATCTCTTTGACATCCGTTGACGTTTCGACATCCGATTTCGGATGTCGAAACGTTTTCCCGTGTTATTTCACTCTAGAGCCCCTAAGGGTGAGGGGGAAGCAATTTCAGGAAGATGTCGAAAAGATATGGTTGTAAAATTAATAAGTATATTTTAGTTCCGCGCTTTGCTGTGAAGAGCGCGCGCAGGAGCTTTGGTGTGTATATTGAATATACAAACGCAATGTCATAACTGCGACTGAATGACATCCAGCGTATAATTGAAAAAATGTACGATTCTACTCATAGCCCCTAATTACATCCGAAATTTGGCAATCGCGCTTTCTATAAATAAACTCCACGATATCTGCTTTTGCACCTATTTAGCGAAATAAACGGAAGAAGAATTACATTAACGTTTGGTGTATAATTAAAAGTTTATACTCTGCGAACTCTTTAACATCACCTATTTTATAGTTAATTAATACTTCTAAATGGGAAGAAATTAAGTTAGGTTCCACTCGCTGTTCTAATCCAAATTTCACTTTTGAATGTTATACGTTGTTGATATTCAGGCGATCCCCTATTTGTTATATATATATATATATATATTGATTCAGAGATAAAGAGAGAGTCAATAAATTGAATTGTAGCCATCTCAATAGAATTAGTACTATATTTTGAAAATCTCCTTTGAATTAAAAATTAAAAATAATTAAAATTGAAACCTATTTGCACCATTTTTAGCCAAAATGTTGCATCGTATTAACCATACACGAAATTTCGTTTTTGAATATTTCTGGTTATTGAACCACTTATTTGTTCTAAATAATGCTACAGACAAAATTATTTGAACCCTGACTTTTCTAATATTACTTGTACCATTTTAAAAGGAATTTTTCCAGTAAACATCCACTATTAGGTTTTTGTATCACTTAGCAACTAGGAAGAGACCCCCGTTAAAATTAAAATTCACAAAAATCTATTTTGCACCTTTATTTAACTTAAAAGGTTGCATCCGATTAACCTTAAACGAAATTTCGTTTTTGAATATTCTGGTTATTCACCCCCTCTGATTGGTTCTAAATACTGGTATAGACAAAATTATTTGAACCCTGACTTTTCTAATATTACTTGTACCATTTTAAAAGGAATTTTTCCAGTAAACATCCACTATTAGGTTTTTGTATCACTCTGCAACTAGGAAGAGACCCCCGTTAAAATTAAAATTCACAAAAATCTATTTCCCACCTTTATTTAACTTAAAAGGTTGCATCCGATTAACCTTAAACGAAATGTCGTTTTTTAATATTTCTGGTTATTGACCCCCTCCTATTTGTTCTAAATAGTGGTACAGACAAACTCAATTGTACCCTGACTTTTCTAATATTGTTTGTACCATTTCGATAGGAATTATATTAAACTAAACATTCGCTATTCGATTTTTTGTCACTTGCAACTATGAAGCGACCCCCGATAAAATTAAAATTCACAAAATCCTATTCTGTACCATTATTTAATTCAAAAGGTTGCACCCGATTAAATTTAAACGAAATTTGGTCTTTTGAATATTTTTGGTTGTTTGTCCCTCATTTATTTGTTCTAAATACTGGTACAAGCATCCATTTTTAGATTTTTGTACCACTCCGCAACCAAGTTAGCTGTTACTATTAGTTTAGTGTGAAACTAGCATGTTAGATGAAATTCCTAAAAATTTCGACATTAATTACTGCGTATTGAGCAAAGGCAAACGATGAAAAGTTAATAGATTAATATCCGACTTCATAAACTATGATTAGACATATAGATCACCAACACCTAGCCTTATAATCGAGGGGTGGCTAACATTTCAATATTTTTAATCATTGGCAGAGTAAATTTTACTCTATGTCATTGTTTATGAAACCGGCCGTTTTGTTAAAAACAAAGCATAGAAAAAGTACCTATAATCTATTTTACTATAAAACATTGCTATTTGATCTCTGTCTTCCATAGTAAACCGTGCGATAACACTTTTAACGCCCTTGACACAGTTACCTTTGGTTTGAACCTACCATCCGTATTTACTAGCCAGTAATCATGGCAACGTTGCAAGGATGTTATAAGGTATGTAAAATTTTTAATGATCTCACAAGATACACGGAGTAAAAATTTATATACAGTATACACTGGAGTGCAAAGAGATAGGGAGAGAATTTTTTTAAAAATGTGTATGGTTTATTTTTTAAGGGCGCAATAGCCTCATATTGCAATTCAAAAAATATACTCTCATGGCCGCAAACTGATAACTGTATCGGAAAGGGTGGATGTCATATCGTCAAAATTTTTGCCGGATGTCGTAAAGTGCGTTGGTCGACTATATATATTATATATATATAATATATATATATATATATATATATATATATATATATATATAGGGATCCCAAAATCACAAAATATCACAGCTTATAGATAAGTGATCCAAGTGCAACAACGCTAATAAGTGAATCAAGTAGACAACACCTCCCCTTCCCTCTTAAAACAAAGAACCACGCAAGGTATAACTGTAGGAAAATAGTTCCACCTTAACCCCTATGACTTCGAACAAATGAAACTTACCGTGCAGCAGGGGGCTATACCTGCCACAAATGCGTACCAGGACAACGCACGCAATACGAAATGGCTTAACCAGACCTTTTTTTTATAGAGGTTTAGGAAATCCTTAATGGACTACCCCCGCTTGCGGTCTTAGCGGGGGGCGTGGGGGACTCCCTTACGGGTTACCCCCTAAAACCCTTTCCTCTGCCTGGTATGCCATGGCCGGGCATCACCTTTCGGCATTCTTCACTGCCATGGCCGGCCGGCGCCTAATAGTAGACGCCTACGGTGTTACCGCCGCCCTTGCTCCCGATCTCGGGCTTCTCTCTCCCTCGCCCTACCGCTGTTCTGTACCAGCCTCGCCACGGCCTCCTACTTCTCGCGCCCTCTCAGCATGATCCTCACCACATTTGCCTTTTCCAATCGCCCCCCGATCGCTGTCTCTGCCGCCACTCTCTCTCTCCCAACGCACGCACCTCAAAACCGCGTGACCCGGCACGTCTATTTCCCCGCAGTCCTCACACCTGTCGTCCTCTCTTTTCTTTATTTTCTTCAGGTAAACTTTATTTTCCCCGTGCCCGGACAAGAACTGGGTAATAAAGTAGTCCAGTTCGCCGTGGCCCCTCTCGCACCACTCCCTCATCTCCGGAATAATGGTCCTCGTCCAGGAGTTTCGTCTCTCCCATCTTGTCTGCCATTCCACGTACATTCTCCCTCTCTCGTCCACCCTTGGGCTCGCGCCATCACCGCTATCTCCGCGGGCCATAGCCCCCCAGAACCAGCGCGTCTTCGAGCTGCACCGTCCTATAGCCGCAGCATATTCTAAGAGCTAGCAGCCGTATCACCCGGTTCACGCTCGCCATGGCCGTGCCCCACTTAGTTGCCGGCCACCACACTTCCGCCGCATACAGAATGCCTGACATAACTGCCGCCGCCATGACTCGCCTCCTGCTCTCCCGCGCGCCTCCGGTGTTTGGAAACACCTTACACAGAGCCCCGTATACTGCCATGGCCTTATCGCTGATCTCCCGTGCGTGCGGTATAAAAGAAAGGTTCTTGTCCAACCAGACGCCCAACACCTTCACCTTGCTGTCTGTCTCGATCGTCTGCCCGAGCACCCCCAGGTTGAACGCTGCCAGCCTCCTCTTGCCTGTTAGCATGGCCAGCTTGGTCTTCTGCGCCACTAACTCTAAACCTCTCGCCGCCATCCATCTGCTAACCCTCTTGATCGCGCATGCCATCTTCTCCTTCGCCCTGCTCACATCCCTATCGCGCACCACCACTGTAACGTCGTCCGCGAAGGTCACCAGCTCGATCCCACTCCCGTTCACCACACTCAGCACCCCATCGTACATCACGTTCCACAGCAGGGGACCTAGCACGGACCCCTGCGGCACTCCCGCACTGCAAATGAAACTGTGCGTCTCCCCCGACGGCTTCCGCGCGGTCACGCACCTGCCGGTCAGGTAGCTCCGCACCAACCGTACTAGTTTGGCCGGCACTTCGAAGTCCCTCAGACCCCTCACGATGGCGTCCCTCGAGGCCGAATTAAAGGCGTTCTTAACGTCCAGCGCCGCCACGAGGCACACCTCTCTCGTCCTCCAGGTCCCCTGGTTCGCCTCCTCCACCTGGCGTACTATGGTCCCTTTCTGAAACCGAATTGCCGCTGGTGTAGTTTCGGCTCCAGTACCTCCTCCACCTTCCCCGAGAAGTCAGTTAAACATATCGGCCGGTGTCCTCCTCCTCCTTTCGGTATAAGAACCAGCCTGCTCCCCTTCCACCGGGCAGGGTATTCTCCCGTTACGATTGCCTCGTTGATGGTCCTCGCTCAAGCCTCCGGGATCGCGATGGCCGCTGCCTTGACCACCCGCGCCGGCACCCCGTCGGGTCCTGGGGCCTTGTCGTTTGGCAGGGTCCTCGCGGACCTACCAGACCTACCGTAGTGTTGCGCAACTCTACCAGTACCACTTCGGCTTAACTTGCCGTATAAACAATAACCAATAAATAAAAAAAATTAAATTTAAAAAATCACCCAAACTATTTATATGTATGAGCCGAAATCACAGAAACTTAACACAAAGGTGTATCTTGTATACGAAATGTCTTCTACTAATTGCTAACGAACGGGTACATTCCCAATTCCAAAGAATTCATAGAATCAATATGATTCTTCGCTAACAAGTTTCCCGAGAACGTCTTACTTCGTCACAAAATTTACAAGTGCTATCCCAACGATAACGATACCTGGACGAACAACTAACATACGATGTACGACTCCTAACTTGTCGACTACTCCGTGAGACACCGGTCCACAATCCGCAATGCTCTGATAAACGTCTAGTGGCCAACGCCTCCTTAAAGGTTACGATAGTCTACGCTACTGGTATACGGCTTGTTAGTGCTCCATATCTTACACGGTGCTCTCGATATCATGGCCACGCAATCGGCAAGTCTCTCTCTCTCTCTCTCTCTCTCCAAAAACAGTAACACATACGACGAAGACCACGGATTAATCTACTTGCAGCTTCTTAACCTCCAACCGGCTTTCCGCTGAAAATATACCCCAAGATATACACCATCGAGACAACGCAGAACAATATTGTGTAACGTTAATTTTATTAAATCCTTGTATGTTAATTGTGTTGCCTATTGTCCCTTTCGTATTTTAAATGTTTCGTGAACTTGACCCCTAATCCATTTGATAAATCCCGGTCACATTCCTGTCTCCTTATCTGTATGTCACATTTTTGCCCGTGGGTCAAGATCATTCTGCTTTAAGTATTAGCATCAAGCACACGATTTTTGCCACTTTTCGCAATTATTATAAACTTGAATTGAATACCTTGATTAAAGGGGTAGTATACCCAAAATCAAAAAAATTGTAGAAGAAAATCTAAGAACAAAATTTCAAACCGGAGTTTTCTACGATGAGTAGTTTTCAAATTATTAACGATGAAAGTTTGAAAGACAGAACATGTGACGTCATCCCGACATCGTGTGTGCGGCGACACGGATCCAAGGATTCCAAACGCGTCAGTTCTTTCATAATTCTAGTTCGCTTTCCTTTGAAAAAAACAAGAAAACTTACTGAAGTATCATTCGAACATATATCCTCATATAAATTTGGATATTTGTAATAAATTTCTGTACTCAGCTCAGACTGGATACCTATGCTTTCAGTAAGAGTTATTGGTTCCATTTGATTCAGTTCTTCTGTTTGATTCTGGCATATGTTTGATGTTGAACTGGTTTCTCCACTACGAAGTTGATCGTTTACCCACAATAAGCAATCGGACACAATCTTACTTTCTTAGATAAGTTGACTGACGTTTTGTAGCTTTATTAGGACCTTTGTTTCCTGTGAGATGTAAAGAAGGGATTGCAGTATTGTTAGGCTTCTCAAAACTTTATACTGAGCCACAGGGTCCTTTCCTTCTTGTATCTTTAAAAAAAATCATCTTTAAAGTGGACACTGCAAACGACGTGACTATACTATGATTCAGCGGTTTTTTCTACTTTTCCAGACTTTATTTCGGCACGGCTTCTTCTTTTCTCGGGGAAAATTTGCAATGTTACATTGGCATTTTTCAAATTATTGTTGCAGCGGAAACACAAAGTTAGGAATTTTTAAAAAAATGCAGATCACTGACTACCAGTCTCAAATTAACACGTCAAACGTCATCGAATCCATATATTGCTATAGCGCGCCACCGACCCATTTGTCGGGATGACGTCACAACGACCGTTTTTTACATTCGACACCTTGCCATTTAATAACGAAACGGCGTAGCGACTTGCGGTTTTCACCGTTACTCTTACATATTTTTAATCTATCTTTAGACGAAAACATGAAATTTGGGTATACTGCCCCTTTAAGGATTAATTTTGGGAAGTTGGCTCAGTTGCTGCTACCCTTTAGTAGTATTTTGGTAGAGCTATATTTCGCTTCGGCGGATTAGATATCGGTGCACATGTTAAGAAGCTCGTAACACCCGCGAGGTAAATATTTAATCACCCATTAGACATTTAGTTGACTTACCTTTTAGCTTCTCTTTTTGATACGCTTAATATCCAACGACCATTCACCATCTCTCGGCCGATCAACATACTCTCACATCATTCGATAGGAAGAGGAGGCTGCAGATAAAGCATACCCCTCGATTTAGTAGCACCTGCTAATCCGATCAGTCAATAAAGGTCAGAAGTTTCCTGTTTGGGTCGTCTATTGTTCCCGTTTCGTGTCGTCGAGTGTCTTCCTATTTACAAATGTTAATGTTTATGTTATGTAAAATTTCAATTATATGCCTACGGCAACGTACCTGTTTTAAGAGCTTGTATCAAGGTACACAAAACTACAACATTTATATAGTCACCTATCTGAACTATTGCGACTCATTTCAACGTATAGTCAAATCACCTACTTGTGAAGCGTCAACAAGAGTTTTGCTTTAAATTAGCATACCCTAGGTTAGGTGACATATTGAGTAACAAAGATAAAAGAAAGATCTTTCCTCGTATCCCCTTGTGCCTTTGCAGTACAGTAACTATTTTTTTATAGAACCTTGTTTAGCCCGTTGTCTCCTGGTGTATCACTCCTCATTTAAACTAGGGAATTTAGTTGCCAATATAAAACCCTCCCGTGTACTGTTGTTTTATTTCCTGTTTGTAACCGAGTTGTCCTACATACAATTTGTTTTTAGAGCGGAGACAATCACCACGCTAACTGAATTACTCGATATTGTACGCTCATGGCGCCCTGATCCTTTCCACCCTATAATTGAACCCACACCTGCTAGCTTGGGGAGTAACAGTCACTTTAGATCAGGATCCCTCGGATTAGCCCTTGTCCCTTATTTGTAGGTTTTGTAATTCCTCCCGTTACAAATATTTGGCGCCCAAACGCTGAAAAAGGGGTAGTTAGTTATTATCGAGGTTATTATAATAATTTTTTCTACAATCGATATCCAAAGTAGGCATTTGCGCTCGTATTTGACAACGCAAACGTCACATCTTTTTCGAGGAATGTCACTTTGTCGCTTATAAGCGACAAAATAGAAAAAAAAACGCTCGCTCTCCCAATTATTAACTATAAATCAAATATGCATTGCTCAGAGTATCCAATGACAACGAGTAAAAGACATCTTTCATTTGGGAATAAGATTAAAATGATTTGAGTGAGAAATTTAAATTTCTGGAAATATGTGAACTGATCGATTGTAGAAAAAATCTTGTGTGTAATTCGAGTGCAAATTGATTGTCGATTTCAACTGTCAACTGTCTCTTTCAATCGACAATATATCATTTTGCGCTCTTAATACACAAATAGCTATAGTAGCTATTGGGTGGAATTTGAGAAAGTTCAGCATAGAGTACGAAACTCACCTTTTGGTAAAACGGATTACATAAATTAAAGTAGATACAACAGGCGAAGTTAAATTGATTGCGCCCTCTCCGGCTTAGCGTTCCGCGTGGCCTCCAAGTCCACGTAATTCGATTAAGGAAATCAGTCCACTCCCCCAAGCGGCATTAAAGCAACCAGACCAATGATTCCCAAAACTTAAATCCAACGGATGCCTTAATAATAACCGATAACCATCGCGCAATCACTTTCACGATATCATCCTTCACCAGTCTTTCGTCATCTTCTCTAACGTTTTTCCCCCCAAAGAAAGAAGTTCCGAATCGCATCGCTCCGGTCATTTACGAAGACAACCATAATAATCCTACTACGGCGAAAATTATACGCGTGACCAAAATTCATACTCCCATATCGCATACCGATCCTTAAGATGACAGCCGTTACCGATTCATTACTGGACCTTAAACAATCGGAACGGTACAATTTTTTTTTAAATATTAAAAATGAAAATATTCCAGTTGTAGCAATTGATGCCACAGGAAGCCTGCAGTGGTATTTCGTGCATTATCGCTACAAAGCAACAGTAGAATTCAACAGTTGATAGCCATAGTCGCTTGAAATGGTATTCTGTTTTCTCCATTACTACAGTCGTTAGCGAGTTCGGGAACACTCGTGATTATACACACATTTCTAAAAACGTTGACCGTTTTCTTTTTAAATATAAGGTTATGTCCGTATTTACTCTAATTTAAGGTATTTAGATTTTAACATTTGTGGTACCTACCTACTTATCGTAAGTTAATTAAAGGTAGTACCTAACGTTAAATATAAACATTTTTAGATGTTGCCCGTAAATATTGCAAGAATCATAGAAATGCATAACTTAGAAAGACGAGAACACATTCGATTATTTAATTTAGAGAGGAGAATTATGAGGGATGAAAGTGATCCATTTTCTTTAAGAGACGAACAATTTATAAGTTTGTTCCGTTTAAGTAAAGGAATGGTGCGATATCTACGTAATGAATTGGAAGTCCATGTTAATATAACCGAAAATATCGTGGCTATACCTCTTATGTTGAAGCTTTTGGCGACACTAAACTTTTTTGCCACGGGTTCATATCAACAATCTGTGGGGCAAGGTTATAATTTTTCTGTAGCGAAACCTACAATGTCAAAGGTAGATTGTCAGCTCAGTGGGTGCAATTTCCACGAACCGCCCCTCACAAAAATCGTATAAAACGACCATTTATGGAAGCAACTCAATTTCCAGGGTGTATTGGTGCAATTGATGGTACACATGTTGCCATAATTGCCCCTCCAGAGGAAGAGCATAATTATTTAAACAGAAGATTCCATTCAAAAAATATCCAAATAGTTAAGTATAGCATTGTTTAATATAATGATACTTATGAAAACTTTTAGATATGTGATTATAATTTGAAAATATTAAATATCAATGCACAATATGCAGGAGCCACACATGATTTGGCGAGAATCTGCTGTACAACATGAATTACAAAGGTGTTATAATCAAGGTAGTTGGATGCAAAAATTTCATATTTAATGGTAACAAATTGTAGGCGATAGAAATTCTTGGTTAGTAGGGGATTCCGGGTATCCACAACAATGTTGGCTCGTGACTCCTATTGTTGATGCTGTTCTGAACACGCCTGAATATGCATACACACAGGCACAAATGAGAGCAAGAAATTGTGTTGAAAGATGTATAGGAGTTTTGAAGAGTAGATTTCGGTGCATTATGGGCGAAAGAAAACTGCGATATGACCCTCAGAAAGTAGGAGATATTGTAATTGCCTGTCCTATTTTGCACAATATATGTATTTCGGACCCAGAAAATGATAATTACGAAATTGAAAATCAAAATGCAAATGTGGGCAATCTCATTTAAACATGGGTAATCAAGCAAGAACACTATTGATTCAAAGATATTTTAATTAATAACTATAGTATGTACATGTAGTATGTAATCATTGTGTAGTACGTTCGTAAATGTCAATAAACCGTTTTAAATTATCACCTACATATCTTATGTTTGTATTAATTTCTTTTAATACGTTTAACGTATCTTTCTGCATGTCCTCCAACTTTGTGGCAAGCGAATTATGCTTTTCAGCTGATAAACGCTTCCGTTTTGCGATTCGAGTAATTCCAATCGACTTTCATTTCATACTCGAGGAAGGGGTAGAAAGATTCAAAGTGTTGTCCATTGGAGTTGCAGGAGCCACTTCTGAATTTTGTTCAATAATGTCTTCAATATTGTCGGTTGTTATCTCGATTACTGTTTCTTGGTAAAATTTTGTTATAGAGTTTATATCACAAAAACAAAATAATTATTACCTCCTCCAGACCTACTTCTCTCACATCATCACCTTCAAAACCTTTTCGTCCCATTAAATTCAACAATCGATGCTCGACATCAGAAAGAACGATTTCTGTGAATTCTCCTCCACCAGTTGCTATTTGCTCTTTCCTTAGAGTAAGGTATGTAGGTACTTACTCTCCTCCACTCATCGGTTGTTTTGGATCCGTACCCAAGTCCATTTAAGGTGTTAGTTATGGTCTCCCATAAACTTTTTAAATGTTGTCTCCCATTTTTCCCATCGCATTTATTAGTTATCACCTGGTTATGTATTTCCGCGAAATTTAAAAAAGTTACCCAATGCTCCACTGTAACTCGCATGATTATTTTATTAAAAACAACGAGCACAAGAAGCGTGATGTAAACACAACCTTCAACGGTAAACGACGCGGATAGCACCTACTTTCTTTTTCTACGCGATAGTTTCTTTGTCTTGTCGACCACTGAAAATGTGTCGCTATAAAACGACTGTTGCAAAAGCGATAGGTAGCTATTTTTGGTTCACGTAATTCGAAAAGCGACGCTACTACCACAAACTGTAGAATTCGACAGTACACGGAATACCACCGCTGGGTTGACTTGAACAGGAATTAATAGCTCCCAAATAAGGCCGGCAAGAATTTACCTGGCGACGGCCCTTACAGAGGAACTTCCACCCGGTTCCAACAACCTCTACTCAAAGTCGGTGGAATCAGACGGCAAACACGGAAGGGAAGATCTTTGGATTCCAGTCCGGTCGACCGACTGAAGGCAAGAATACAAAGAACTAGTTCTGTGTCCGGTTTTATAAGCCCGCAGGGATTTACCCTACCAGGATTATCTTCCCCCGGGAACAGGTGAGTAAAACGGCAAAACTAAAAGTAATTATCAAATTAATAGGTCTGGAAAAATAATGAAAGTAAAAGCTCTGGTGGAATTAAAACGGAAAATAAAATAAACTTTAAAAGGATTTCAGGTTTTCTAAACGGGCCGGAATCTGGTCTGGTTCTGGTTCGGGGGATGATTGTAACAAGGAACGGAATTAATCGGAAGTGCTCTCTGGTATTATTATTATGGTCGGTGTTTCTTGTGAGAACTCAGGTCTAGCCTGGTTAACTAATCGCACGGATTAAAATCAAGTAACGATTAGTGTCTGTGTCTGTGTCTGTGTCTGGTGAAGTTATGTAGGGTGTAGGGTCCTTAAAATAAAAAAAAA